TGCGAGCTGCTGATGGAAGTATGGTAGGTGATCTCTTCTCTTTAACTAGGCACGTCTAAATGTCTAATAGTCAGCCATGAATTCTAGCTTCCCACATTTTATTCCATTTTGTAGGTTTTCCGATTACGTGAAGGTGTGGGAGTTGCAACCAACAATGTTGCTGAATACAGAGGTGTAATCTTAGGATTGAAGTATGCTCTTGAAAAAGGTTTTAAACACATACGTGTCCAAGGAGACTCAAAGCTCGTCTGTATGCAGGTTTTGCTTCTCTTCCCTCTCGCATTTACTGTCCATTTGTTTTTCCAATTCCAATATGCAGTATTATTCTCTGTTTTGTGTTAGGTTAATTTGATAGTACAAGAGTGATGGAAAAATTTAATGAAGTTGTGCATGATAACAAGTAACTCACTTAAATCTCTCATTTTGCTTCCTGCTTTTATTCTTTCCTCATGGAATAGACTCAGGGACTCTGGAAAACCAAGAATCAGAACATGGCTGAACTATGCAAGGTTGCCAAAGAGCTTAAGGATCAATTTATGTCCTTCCAGATCACCCATGTTGAAAGAGTATGAACTACTAGTCTTTGATGTTTGTATAGTGGATCACTGGATGTTATCAACTGTTATGAGTCAACGATAGCTGTTCTGTCCTTTCCATTTCATATTGGATAATACCCAGAATTTATAGTTTGTTGCTGAGATTTTTTTTTTTTTTTTGAGTTACTGGTCCTTATATTCATGCTAGAACTGTCATGGTGATACTCTGTTTTTTCAGTTTTTCACACAATTACAAGCAAGCATCTTTTGTTTGTTGTGGTTTATTCTACATTGATATTCCTCTGTATTCTGAGTGTTATTTTATTTGATTTGCCAGGAATACAATACTGAAGCTGATGCCCAGGCAAATCTAGCTGTGTATCTTAAGAGTAATGATCTTTGCAACCACTGGTTATTTCATAATTTGGTGATAGATCTGTTTTCTTGTTTTTATTTTTTGAAAATTTTACTAAGTTAATCTTGTGCAGATGGTGAAACACAAGCGGAGTGTGACATGAAGTAGCCAAGATGCATAGCCCCTAATGACTGTCATGTTTTTTTTGGGGGAGGATAAGTGGTCTCCCAACACTTTTGAACATGATCTTCTAGATCAAGTGTAGATATATCACCGGAATGATATGCTATATATGCAACAAAATTGCAAAATCTAGTGTTACAATTTATGTATTATAGCATTAGGATGCTCTGTTCTTGAAACCAACAAGATAGTTAATTGTTAATGGAGATTTTAGTATTATCTTCATCCTATCTGCTTTTAGAGTCTTCTCTTGATTTCATAAGTCTTACATTATGATTTCTAACTATTTTCATGCCAAGTTGTAGTGTGAAGTGATTCAAACTCAACCTGAAAGGGATTAGAAATTGTTGTCTCAAAAGAAATTACAGATTCACAGAAGCTTCTCCTCAGTGAACAAGGTAAATGTATCTTCATATTCTTATACTTGAGAGCTTGGAAACATCCTAGGCATGGTAGGATGCTTTCCTGGATGCCTCCCTCAGTTACAAGATGATTTGCAATGAAGTTTGGAATCAGTTTAGATGGTCAATAGAAGAAGTTTTTCAGAAGAAAGTTGAGGATGTTAAGGTTGCGAGGTTGGAACATGGTCCTTGGCATAGACTAGATTGACCACTATGCTCCTATTGAATTACACAACATGCCACCCATCATCTCTTTCCATAAAGAAGGAAAGAAGGTCACACCAAGGCTTAGAGCATCCATAATAGTGAATTTTTATTTATTTATTTTTTTTGGGTGTAATTTTTGAGAAGTTTTTGTAAGTGTGATTAGGAAAGAGAATAGGGAAAGAGGAAAAAAAAAACTGATCTGACACAAAAAAAAAAAAAAAAAAAAACTGATGCTTAACGCGCCGAGGCGCGTGCACTCCACGTGCTTGGCTTGGCTTTGCTGTGCGCGAAACGCGCACAGTTTCGTTTGTTCCTCTGATCTAAACACTATTTCAAAAACTCATTTTTGCAAAGTAAACTTATTTTTCTCTCTCTTGGCTTATCTCTCCACCATGTCAGCACTCACTGTTCCAAAAATCACAAAATATTCGCTGATAATGGTGCTCTTAGAGCATCCACATTTGTTGGGGAGAATAGGGGATAATGTAAGAGTTATTAGGAAAGAGAAGATGGGAGGGGAGAGAAAAAAAGGAAAGAAAAAAAGGAAAATTAAATTTAAAAAAAAAATAATAATAAATAAAGACTGTCCGGCGCGCCTGACGCGCCCAGCTGTGCACGCGCCAGCTGGGCGCAGAGGTGACAGCCACGCATGGCTGTCACACTTGGTTAAAAATTGTGGTGGGTCCCACATTTCTGAAATCTCCCCACATTTGCAGGAGGATCCCATTTTTCTCTTTCTTCCTTCTCTTTCTTCCACATGGCACAAATTTCTGACATTATTCTCCCATTATGCATTGGTGTGGTTGCTCTTAGAGAAGCCAGTCAAAAAGAAATATTTCTTCCTTCTCTTTCTTCCACAAGGCACAAATTTCTGACATTATTCTCCCATTATGCATTGGTGTGGTTGCTCTTAGAGAAGCCAGTCAAAAAGAAATAAATAAATGGAAGAAAGTTAGAGTTAAGAGATACTAGGATAAATGTAACAGTGGTGAGTGAAGAAGAAATTTTTGTAGCTGAAGGATCCTCTATTATGGTTCCTGAGTTGTGGCCTAAGTTGAATGATATTCTTCTTTAGTATGTATAATTCTTCCAAGAGTCAAAATCCTTGTCCCCAATAAAACAACGTGGTCATGAAATTTCGCTCTTACCCAATTCTAAACTGATTCATGTTGAGACATATAGTTACTCACTTGTTCAACATTAAATTATTTTAAAAACAAAAAAAAAAAACAAAAAAAAAAAAAACAAAGCAGCTGGCCAGCTTAAAAGCAAAAAAGCAAAAAGAATAAAATGAATTTCAATTGAGCCCCAGGTAGTGAGACGCGAAATCTAAGAGGAAGAAACTTGAAATTTCACGCAGCTTAATTTTTTATTTATTTTTCTGACAAAACCTCCCTTCTTCCAGGAAGAAGAAACTCTCCAAAAGTCCTCCTCCACATTTGTTAAAAACCCCTAGCTTTTACCGTTTGAAAATTCAAGAACAATTTTCTTTTGGGGATGCTCTAAGGAATTATTATAAGTGATAATAAAATCACTTACCAATATGTTAAATGTTGGAAAAAAATAGCTTAAAATGACATGTTAAGTGGCTATTTTGTGGTACAATTATCAGTGGGGTCCACTTTCGATTTGGGTGGGTCAAAGTGGATTCAGATTCTTCATAGTGAGACGAAGAGATTGATATATTGTACGCTCAAAACGGATAATGGGTGAATGAGATATTGATTCTCAAAGTAGACCCATTTGAGTTGGAAAATGAAGGGAAAAAGTGAGTTTTTGTCCTACATTGATTTGGAAAGAGGATTTGACCCCCCTTTTATAAAAGAGCTCTTTTGGAGCTTGTAGAATTGTATAGCATAGAGGTTCTCTCACGTGTGGGGGGTGTGCAAATCAAATTCCAACTAGAAACGAGAGGTAATGCGAAGGAGTTGGGCGTAGAAGTATATATCTTTGTGCTTCTACTCTTTGTTTTTTTACCAACGGATCCAACATTAAAGGATTCTTTTTCATAGTCTCCTAAAGCTAAATTAACATTTGGAAAATTAAAAGAGGCTCTTTGCCATGCTCTTGTGTTAGCTCTCCCAAAATTCTCCATTTTTGTTGTGGAGATAGATGCAAGTCATAAAAGAATGGGAGCAGTTTTGTAGGAATAGGATGCCATGATTATATGGATAGTCTTTTCTTTCTTAGACATTTGCATGTGTATATAACCGTGTATATTCTCATCATATACGAAGTGTAAAATATCTTCTTACACTTACAAACAAACTTTAAGCTTTTGTTAGATCTAATGTGAAGTTAACTCCAAAATCTTATAGGCCCTATTTGGCCGTTGAGAAGATTGGTCTAGTAGAAATTGCCTCCGAGTTCTCCCATTCACCATATTTTTCACGTTTCGCAACTCAAAAGCAAGACCAGAGGTGAGGGTGCAAATTAAACCTCCAACAACTGGACCTGATTGGCAATATTAGTTGAATCTATAGTTGTCCTAGGAAAATGAATGATTAAGAAAAATAATGTTACTAAAGTTCAAATACTAGTATAGTGGGCTAGCTTATCTCGGGATGAGAGTTACTATCATGTGTCAAAGCAATTTCTCCATTTTGATCATTGGGATTTGTTTGTAAATGGAAATGTAAAAGAATTTTTATTATCTAATCTCATCTAATTCATGTAAGGTTTCTTGCTTAGAGCTTTGCACATAACATTACTCTTAACTGTATTAAATATTTGGCGCTTATCCCCCATCGTCTCACTGGCCGACCTTGACCCCTGTGATTTTGGGATCATATCTAGTATTCAGAGTTTGCCTCGATTTGGTACCGCTCTCGCGGCCCGCACCGAAACAGTGCTTTACCCCTAGATGTCCAGTCAACTGCTGCGCCTCAACGCATTTTGAGAAGAACCAGCTAGCTCTGGGTTCGAGTGGCATTTCACCCCTAACCACAACTCATCCGCTGATTCTTCAACATCAGTCGGTTCGGACCTCCACTTAGTTTCACCCAAGCTTCATCCTGGTCATGGATAGATCACCCAGGTTCGGGCCCATAAGCAGTGACTGTGTTTTTTAATGTCTTATAAGATATTCTCAAGTAAAAAAAATAAGATATTCTCAATCAAAATTATTTACAACTGTCAAAGATCTTGTGGTCAATCAACTATAATAGAGTCAATAGTACTAAAAATCATGTGAAAAGATAAAGATGCCAAAATGGAAATAGCAAGGAGAGTGAAAGCAAGCAAAATGGGTGTCCATTTGTTATTAAGTCAAATTATAGGGACCAATTTTAAATACTCATTTCCTTCCTTCTGGATAAATTGCGGAACTCCAGCAATGGTGATAAAATCTTAAAGAGGAAACAGAATGGCAGCCACTGTCTCCCCGTTTTCCATTTACGGACCCAAATCCCTTTTGCTTCTTCCTTCTTCTTCTTCAATCGATTCGTGCCGGCTACTACCCCTCCACCGCCTTCGATTTCGGACTCAATGTGGCATTGCCACTTCCTACTCTCCCGTTCTATTGCCATTGAAGAGGTTTTCGAGAATCAAGAGGATTAGGTCCGTCGCGGAGGAGGAAACCTTAGTTCCAGAAGGCGATGGTGGCGCCGTGGCCACGGAGGAAGCAGCAGGAGAGGATGCATCTTCTTCGCCCCCGGTCACCGCTGACCAGACCGTTTCAGTTCCTGTGTCTGCTTCCGACGTTCTCACCATGTTCTTCCATGTATTTATTATATGTTTCCTTATGAGAAATTTAGTATTTACTTTCGGTTCTAGAATGCTTCAATTCTATGGTGTTAATGATCTCCAATGTGCAGGCCGAAGGAACCATGAGTGACGCAGCCATTCCGAAAGTGACCAAGGCTTTAGAGGTAATCCGATTCCTGCGTTTTTAGTTCAAAGATATCCAACATAGTTACCTTATCAGCCAATTTTGGTTCATTTAACCACTTTTAGTAGTTTGACTTGATTAAAAAATAATATGATTGTTTGATTAAGTAGCTTTTTGTAGCAGTTTATTGCTCAAAAATACTAAAATTCAAACAATTGCTCAAAACAGCTTTTTCGATCAGTTTTTTGATAAAGTCATTTTGCATGTAATCAGCTATAGCTAACAACTAATCCACTAATAACAATCAACTAACAGTTATTTACCAATATTCGCTCATATCCGTTGACTGAGGTAAATGTAACTCTAACATGTTTTTTCTGGTTTCTGTTATTCTCTAGTTTCTTTTGCTTATAATGCCAATTGGATGCAATGAAACAATATGCATTAGGTTGTCTCGATAACGGTTCAAGATTGTAATGGATTATGGATGAACACAAGTAACTTAGAGCTATCTACTGATTCTTGCTTTGGCATAAACTCCCTCCTTTACCCTCATTCTCTTTATTGGTGTGTCTTGAACTTGAAGTAATTTTCACCATTTCAATTGAAAAAATACTACTCCTAGTACATTAGTAAATGCTAATATCAATGATGAAACAGTTTAGTGGATCTTGCATTAATATCCTTTTGGTTCTTCATATATCTGCAGGAAACAGAAGGTATAACTGATCTCAAAGTTCGAGTTCTTGAAGGCTTGGCGAGTGTAGATGTGAGTTTTGCTACTTGCCTCTTTCTTACATATGTTAACCATATCTATAACAAATCAAAACATTAATGCTGAAAATCTTCTTGTGGATACTTGGCTTGTAGAGAAGTTCTTAAACTGAATTACTCGTGCATCATTTGCCAATGCCTTTTCTTCATTAATCAAGTGTACACACACATAAAGAAGAAGTAAAGGACATAATTAAATGCACATCATTTGCCAATGCCTTTTCTTCACTAACCATTCTTGGACATCCTTTTCTTCAATTGATCTCCCTTTCTTTAAGCCCAAATGCACATAATTAAATTGTACAAGTGATGCAAGAGAAACCTATCTTCCCAATAAAAGAATTTATTGCAAATCGGGCCATGCTGCACCTCATCACTTAGGAATTCTATTTCTCTGACATCATCATCATCCAGCAAGCCTTGCTGATGGTGAATCCTCAAAGATAGTTTTTCCCTCCTAGGTGGTTTGTCCCAAATTGACTAGGAACTAGGAAGTCAGGACTAGGGTGTGCCTCACTGCCTTGCTTGCATATTTCTATTATCTGTTGCTCTTGAGCATGGTCTAGTGTCTTATAGGCTTGTCCCCTGAAGGGGCAATCTGGATTGCATTTTGAATGTTTGTTTTACCATGTTTAACATTGATGAAATTTTGTGTGTAGTTAACAAAGCAAACAACAATACAAGCTACAGGGGTGGCTTCAAGTTTGGTTGAGATTATACAAGGTTCAGGCTTCAAGTTGCAAACGTTGAATTTGAGCTTTCAGGATGAAGAAGATCTTATATAGACCTTATGACTCCTGACAAAATGAAATTCTACTTGATAGAAAGAAACATGAGATGATGCAACAAGAATACGCCCTTTGTCATTGCCGATTGCTTAACAGGCCGTTGTTGTTGTTGTATCATATTTGATAAGATGCATTTCCTGTATTTTGTTTTCCGGTTGCGTAGGTGTCTTGTTGAAACACTATTTTGCTCAAGGAAAACAGAAAGATAGTTTCCTACTTGTCTTCTGTTGTATACCATTCTTGGCTATTCCCAAGAGAGTGAGATCCTTGAAATGAGAATCACTGGATGACAAAACTAATATTTCAATGTTCCTGAATTTTACTTTTACTTAAAAAATTAATTAGACCTTTAAACTTTTAAAAATTAATTAAATTCAATGTTGCAGAAGGCGCTAGTCGGGCGTCCTGGGGATGCCTAGCGCCCGGGCGGCGCCTAAGAGCTTCAATCGGTGCTCGGTCGAGTAATTTGAGTATATCGTCTCTATTTTTCTCACTAAGACTAGTGGGCTATAAGTTGGTAGACTATTATAATCTTATAAATTAGTCAATTATATATGTTAGATGGTTACTTGAGTATATGGTTGAAGGAATATAAAAGAGGAGCAATAGAGTAGGCAAAAAATACCACTCGGTAGAGTCGAGCGCCGACTCAGTCTAGTTAGGTGCCAACTAAGCAGAGTTAGGCGTCCAACTCAGCGCCTAGGGTGCCTAGTTGGCCGATTAGTCGATCAGCCAACTAAAAATCGTTTAGAGTTAAAATCGCTTCGGTTTAAGATTGTCTAGCGCCTAGTCGACGCGCGGCCACTTAAACTAATTTTTACAACATTAATTAAATTGATGAATATGTTATTTTAGAGCATTAAAATTTAAAAATAAATCATTAAAAATATATTTAACCATTTTCTTTTCTAAAAAATACTAACTAATACTACCATTCAGTCAAACTAATTAACATAATTAGTTAACTGCTAAAAACTAAAATACAAAACAAAGCTTATGAAATTTTTTGCATTTTGATGAAAACAAAATTGTAATTGAGCATTTGAGGAAGCTCGACCCGAAAACCGGAGGCGGTCAAAGTGATTTATACTCAAGAAAAGGTTTTTACACGTCGGAGCATGTTTGTACTAGGAGATCCGGCGAGACATTGAATTCCGGAGAAAGGTTAAGCAATGAGAGGCGATGGGATCTTAGGAGTGGAAGGCGTCCAAGGAAAGAGATCAGAGCGAAGCATCGTCACAGAGAGGAAAAAATGGCTCAAAAGGAGAGAGAAATGGCTGGTGGTTGTGGGAATCGTTTTACACGCAGTTTACATGCTCAGCATCTTCGACATTTACTTCAAAACTCCTATTGTTCACGGCATGGACCCCGTCACTCCTCGCTACTCTGCTCCCGCCAAGCGTCTTGTTCTCTTGATTGGTACAGTACACCAACTGTTTGATGCTTTGACGCAATGAATGATACGCTGACTTATGGACTTAGATATTTTTGTGCGTCTTGTAGATTCTGGAGTTCAAGATTACTGCTTTATTAGTTAATGGATTGATAACTGTTATTTGCAGCTGATGGGTTACGGGCCGATAAGTTTTTTGAGCCTGATTCAGAAGGGAATTATAGAGCGCCATTTTTGAGGAGTGTGATTAAAGAGCAAGGCCGGTGGGGAGTATCGCATGCTCGTCCTCCAACAGAATCTAGGCCTGGACATGTTGCTATAATTGCTGGATTCTACGAGGATCCTAGTGCTGTCACCAAAGGTGCCCATTCATTTCTACACTGGTTTTTTGTGGGGGAACTTTTATGACTTTATATTTGATTCCAGGTTGGAAGGCAAATCCAGTTGAGTTTGATTCAGTATTTAATAGAAGCCGGCATACATTTGCTTTTGGCAGTCCTGACATTATTCCCATATTCTGTGGTGCCTTGCCGCATAGCACTTGGAATTCCTACCCTCATGATTATGAAGATTTTGCTACTGGTTCGTCATAATGTCTGACTTCTTATGTTTATGTCGATCAGAACTACTCACTTGCAATTTTTTTATTTTTTATTTTGTCCCAGCTGAAATAGCATTTTCTTTGTTTTTCACATAAGTAATGGGAGATTGAGGAATAATACATATTCTCCTAGCTTCCAAACTCATAATTTATGGTATATCTTTATTGATCTAATGGTATAATCTGCAGATGCTTCTTTTTTGGATGAGTGGTCACTTGATCAATTCCAGAGCCTCTTGAATAGGTCTAACAAGGACCCAGAATTGAAACAACTTCTTCAACAGGATAAGCTTACTATATTTCTACACCTGCTTGGTTGTGATTCAAATGGTCATGCACATCGACCTTATTCATCCATATATCTCAATAATGTTAAGGTTGTTGATAGTATTGCTGAAAGAGTTTACAATCTTATTCAGAGTTACTTCAAGGACAATTCAACAGCATATATATTTACCGCTGATCATGGGATGAGTGATAAAGGTTGTAACTTGAGTTGCCATCAAAATTTTATGGATAATGAGTGCTAGTATTTTATTTTACAAATTCACATCACAATCATATACCAGGCCGATCATGCGATTGCAAATTTAATCCATTTTTTTGGTAGAAAGATATATGTTTTTTATGTGTAGAGGAAGGGCCATTTGTATTATTGTGTATCATCACTGGGATAAAAGAACTTGACTGTCAATGTGAACAAATAGCCTTGACTTGTCTTGGATTACCTTGAGAGCAGCCAAGTCTTATTTTGATGTCTACAACATTTTCTAGAATTTGACATGTAATAATAAGCTTTTATTTTAGGGAGTCATGGAGATGGGCATCCTTCGAACACTGATACTCCGCTTGTTGCTTGGGGGGCTGGCATTGGACATCCCATGCTTGACTCCCACAATAACCATCCCGATAAATCTGTTCGGTTCGTTGATGAGCATTTGCATGATACACCAACACCTTCAGAGTGGGGGCTAAATGGTATATCAAGGATGGATGTTAATCAAGCTGATATTGCACCTCTTATGGTTGTCCTTTTTGGAATTCTTTGGTGTAAAATTTTCTTGTTTCAATACCCCTAATGTTTGATTTCTGATGTGCCCCCCTACCCTTCCAAATTTTGTGCAGTCAACTCTTCTTGGTTTGTCGTGTCCTATTAACTCTGTTGGCAATTTGCCTCTTGATTACATTAAACTTAATGAGGTCAGTTTTTGTAACTTTGAGCTACCTTTCCCATTTAACCTGGTGCAAAATTTTTATTTCTTTATCCTGGATTGCTGTAGTTTAAACTTTGACACTTTTAATTTTAGGGGGATGAAGTCGAAGCGGTGCTAGCCAATACGAAACAAATTCTCAACCAGTTCCTGCGCAAGTCTGGTATCCTTTATGAGGACCTTGTATTAGTGCAATAGTGCATGTGCACACACACACACTTATTGGTTGATTTCTTCCTTCTTTGAATCACATGTATTTTGTAAAACCAAGCCCTTTACTTTCCTGTTTTCTGTTTACCAGCAACTAGCTCATACTCTTGAATGATGCCCTTCCTCTCATATTTATATTTCCTTGAAACTTTATCCAATTCTTTTATTCCTTCCTTTTGTTTGACTTTGGGCCCACAAGAACTACAGCATGAATTTGTTATCTTTGAAAATTTTCCTTTACAAATAACTAGAATTAAAACAGTTGCATTCACTTTATTTCAAGCCTTTCAAACCACTGTCCAATCATTCACTAGTACTGGGTGAGATTGAGTATCTGATATCTGTCAGAGATTATAAAGCTGCGATGAAGCTGTTGGAAGATCTCAGGAGCTTGGCACTTAGCGGACTTAACTACTTTCAGACTTATGATTGGTTGATGTTGATGACTGTAATTACTCTTGGCTATATTGGTTGGATGGTCTATATTGTACTACATGTTTTGGAATCTTATACCTCCTTACCTGAAAATTTTTTCCGGAAGGAACAATTCTTTGGCTCGAGGAAAAGTAGCCCAAAGGTAACTGAATTTGTTCTTCTCCTTCAAGGATCTTTTCCTTGTTCTTTCTAGGGAGTGGGGGACAAAGTGATGAAGTAATTGAGACTGGAAACTTTTATTTAATTATTTTTTTTGTGTTTTTTGATTGACAACTGTGAGTGGGTGTGGAATAGGGACATGAGAATGAAAGAGTTGCCTGTGAATATTATTCTATATCTCCTGCTGATTATAAATAGGGAAAATAGTAGAATGCAGGTGCTTTTTAATCATTAGCCATCTGGTTTGGCTTGCCATGTACATGAGTCCATTGCATCCTGGTGTCCTGCATGTATCATTACTTTCAACATAAGTTGTGAATTGTGATTTGCACCTCATGTAGCTTACTTTTTTGTCTCAAAAAGGGATATGCACTAAGAATTGCAATTTTTGTTATTCTGAGGTAATGTGTTATGTTTTCGGGCGAAAGCACGCGTCAAAGGGCGAGTAGGGTTATTGGGGTTGTCTATGTTGAGAGATAAATATAAGGAACAAAGATAATAGGAACGTTTTGAGAGTTTTCCCACCTCTTGATTTTAACTTAACTTCTTTCTTGCTTGTCCTTTTATTAGAATGAAAATCCCCTTTATATAAGAGGGTTACAAAGACTAGTAAAACATAAAAAGGAAAGGAAGACTAGCAAAAACATAAAAAGGAAAGGAGAATCACTAAAGATCCTTACCCTAATTATTTGCTATCTCTAAAGGAAATAAATCAATTCTAATAGTAAAGATAATAAATCAGTTATAATAATAAAGATATTCCCTTAATCATCATATCATTACTCCCCTCTTGGACATCAAGCTTGTCCTCAAGCTTGAAATCTAGAAAAGTGGGAATGGATTAGTCTGGGGTCGTTGCGTCAATTGGCTCATCGTCCCCTTCGCCATTAAAGCCAAGCATGTATAATAGTTGTTTGCAATGATGGCCCTTTACCCATGGTTCATCACAATTATAGCAGAGGCCACGCTTTTGGCGCTCTATCATTTCTGTCGGGGAGAGTTTATGGAACTGAGGGCGTGATTGTGGCTGTTGGTGCACTGTTATGGCGCAACTAGGGGGTGTTTGGGATGGGAAAGTTTGTCGGGGAGGTGCATTGTGAAGCAGGAGGCCTTTACGAGCATAATCTCGTGCTATGTTAATGGCCTCATCAAGAGAAACTGGCCGCATCCTTTCAACATCTATACGTAGAACCTCATCAAGGCCGGCTGTGAACAGATTGACT